GCAATAAACCCAGAAAGAAGAAGATCCTTGAAATCAAAACTTTTACACACACTCAAGGGAACTGCTCATGGGGAATATATCCCTGAGCTGGAGCTGGAGAGTGCAAAAGCTTATGCAGACATAAAATCCCACAGTATGTTTAATTGTATTAGTCATATATGTAAGTGTTTGCTGAATCAGAATCTTAAAATTGGAACTTTTTTGTTTGAGATTACTTTTTTCAATCAAAAATATAGCTGTCTATTAAAAAAAAAAAATCACTACAGCTTTTAGTATTTCATGGCTCTTTAGAAGAGTAGATAACAGAAGTCCCTTAGTTATCCTGTGTGGGTAGGATCTGCACTGAGTTACTTTATATTCTATTTATATTCTACTTCCCAGAGCCACACAGTTCCTCACTACTTTTTTTCTACTTTTCATCAATTAGTAAATGGTTTTCCAACAAGCAAACATGAAGAGGAATTAAAAATTAACACAAACCATTCAGAGAGATTCTTATGGGGGAAGGAAGCAAAGTCTCCAGCAGTAAAAGCATCTTGGTGTTCTAGGCAACGTTACCTGTGGAATCTTTTTCAGTTGTTCCTTCAGAACTGTGGATATTAATTTCTGCCAGGTCATTGCACAGCTTTCCAGAGATTGAACCACTGATGGAACTGAGGCAAGAACAGGCACTTCTCCATCCAGATTTACAGTTGGCATCTCCAGTTCAATATCTCCTATTGAAAGAAAATGCACACAGAAGGAACTGTCTCGTTCTGACAGCATTGGTAACGTGGCACCACTGGAATGGCCTTTGCCTTCCCTCTTGTTGGCTACCTGAGGACAGGTAACCAACCACCTGCTCTGCCTGCTTGAGAACAGGGCAAAACAGATTCATTGTTTTGGCAGTTAACACAATGCAAACAAATATATATTCCTGGAAAACAGAATGGCAGCAGTCCCTGTCAGAGAAGGGATGCTAAACCTCTCTGTACTGCCATGAGATCTAATCCCCACAGTGCTGCAGAGGCAGAACACTCACCTTTTCTTTGTTGTATAGTTTCATTCCTCATTGAAGTATTAAAGTTTTCCACAGGCTGTTCTTTCTTTTCTGCAAGTTCAGACTCAGGTAAATTCATTTCCTCAGAATCTGTGTTTTCACTATCTGAATGAAAGGAAGTTTCCTTAGTCTGCTGCTGACCATGGGAGAGAGTTGGTGAGAACACCTAGAATTCAAAAGGTGTCATAGAAAAACAGAAATCAGTCTACTAGAAATTCACTTAAGCATTGGACATTGTTCTAAAATTTAATTTCAGTGTGTCTCCTTCCATTTCGCCCCTTTGGCATCATTTTCTCTGCCTCAAATTCTGCAGGGGAATAGCTCCAGAAGGTCTTTATGGAAATCCCTGAAGATACAGACACAGAAATAAAGATGTCTGGTGTCACACTCTTAAATGATTCTCACATAGGGGCAGGCAATGAAATAATGCCCATCTCCAGATCTTTGCAAACAATTTGGGAAACAAAATATCAAATAAGGATTAACAAAAACTTCTTTTTGGCATATGAAGGTCACTTATTATAAAGTAGTATTTCTTATGCATAGTTCATATGCTCAGCAGAATACTAAGGGGACAAATCACTCCTAGAAACACTCAAGACTCCATATATAAGAGCTGTAACACATTTACCTGGGAGATGGCATCCTTCAGCATCAAAGCAGTGTCATCAGTCAGTATACCAGACTTTATCACTTGAGGAAGAATCTCATTAGCTTCAGTCAGGTCCTTAGGTTCAGCAACTCTTTCTAGTACACAAATAATTAGTATAAATCAAATTATTTGATACAGAAAGCATAAAGCACAAAGCCCTTTCCATAATAAGTTAAAACTCCAATAAACCACTACTAGGTTCAATACAAGTCACGTTCAAAACAAATGCTGGGTTTATTAGTGCAGATGCTTTTTCAGAAAGCACAGAAAAATACTTCAGTGTCATCACCTGGGTTTAAGCCTTGACAATTCAGCCGGAGAGTTAGAAAATGGTTTTCTGTTCAAAAAAACAGTGGCCTTGATTTGAACCCTTATTTTACAGACAGACCAGAAAAATCTTGCCCAGAACTGCCATAAAATGACCGAGCATTCCTGATTTCTGTTCTATTCTGACTGTACTCCTACCCAGTATATTAGGCTGGATATGCACTATCCTGAATCTCAGTCACATTTTCTCAATGAGAATTGTTGTTTCATGCAAAACCCAAAGCACTGAGCCTGCAGCTCTTCAGGGCACACACCTTTGGTGTCTCTCAAAAAATACACAGTAGAATCTGACACAAATCCTTCAGGAATTTCATCAAGAGCCACGTAGAAACACACTTTGTCAACTTTCTGTTCCTGTAGCTTGCTTTCCTGAGTCACCCCTAAGAAGGAACAACACCAGAGAACTCAATTAAAGAACATTATCCTTGTGTATAAGATGGATCTGTCCAATTTTTCTCTCAAACTAAATGACTGAGCATTTTTTTCCATCGTCAGCATCACCTTTCAGCAACCAGCCATCCAACCTTGGTGTTAATTGTCCATTTCTCCATAGGACAGCATTACTTGTGGAGAACTGAATCCAAATAAGCAAGGAACTGTACTGTGTTCCGCAGGAAATTGGTCTTTATTTAGAATATCCTTACCAGCATTTTCCAACACAATTGATTTTTTATGGCAAAGTGAGTGGATTAACACATTCCAAGATGAAACTACTTTGTAAATGGAAATGCAAATAATTAAGGGGTTTGTCATGCACCCTTTATAACACACTTTCTATCCATTTTCCTTTATTATTTTTCCTTTTTTTTTTTGTGAAAGGCTTCTCTACAATACTGAGGTTAAAGTATTGGACTGATCCTCAGCCTTTACAGGATCACCACTTTTATTCTCAAAACACTACATCAGAAACAAGAGAAGAGCTTGCAACTCTTAAAACAAGGTAAATTGTTTCATTCCTCCTAAAGGGAACATATTAATTCTATTTTAATAAAATCAATCTCTAAAAAGTTGAAATTATAAAGCCAGTAAAAGATGTCACAGACAAAGAAGATCTGTTTTTGTGGGTTGATTTTGTTCATCCCAGACAGTTTCTTTCTACCTGGAAAAGATGAAAGAGCCAAACTAGGACAGCTTTCTTTTCAAATGAGCATCCTGAGGCAGAAGCTCTTGGGAAAACACAAATCAGCCACACTGCCCAGGACGCTCTCCACAAAATCAGATTTGCTTTCCTGGGACAAGAACTTGCTGATGTTACAGATTCTGCTGGATCTGCTTAAGAGAACCACATCAGCCGGTCACATTCAGCCCCTGCGGCCTGCAAGGCCCACACTTTGGCCATCAGACCACCGACTGCCCTTCAGTGCCACACAGGAGGCTGTTCCAGGCACCTGCTCAGGACAGGGGTTACCTGGGCCATCCTCCTGCTCCTCACCTGCAATCCCCTTCGTGTCGCCTGTATCTGCACAAACACAACATGGGAGGAAAGCACGATATAACCCCTCTGCAGCAGGGATGGTGCAAATCCCAACAGGGCAAAACCAGAGGGGGTAAAGTCTGGAAGTGGGTGGGATTGAAGGGGTCCAGGAGCACACAGCCCAAGGGATGGAGAGGCAGGGAAAGGGGTAAGGACAGGGGTCATGGGGCTACGACAAATGTGGCCCTGACGGAGGGAGAAAGAAGGAGTTGGGGCCCGAGGCCAGGCGGTGCCCAGGGAGGGCTCGGCGGGGCCCTCACCCCCCGCCTCCTCACCGTCCCGGCCGCGCCGCTCGGCCCGCAGCAGCAGCAGCAGCGCCGGGCCCGCCCCGCTCGCATCCTCGCCGAAGAAGCGCAGCACGGCCCGCGCCTCCTCGCCGCGGCTCAGCAGCTCCTCGAAAGGCGCCGGGTCGCTCAGACCCAGCAGGGCGAGCGCTCGGTCCCGCAGCCACCGCAGCCGCACGTCGTCCAGGCTCATGGCGGCGACCGCTCCGACGCCTCACGGTGGCCACGGCAACGGGGCGGGGAGGAGCGACGGCCGCTGCCCGCCCAGGGCCCGCCTCGGGAGGTGCCTCGAGAGGTGCCTCGAGGGGCCGCGGTACCGGCTGCCCTCGTCCCGTGCCGTCCCTCACGGCAGCTCCTTCCCCTCAGGGACGCTTGTTCCCCTCAGCGCCCACCGTCCCTCACGGCAGCTCCTTCCCCTCACGGGCGCTCCTTTCCCTCGGCACCGCCTGGGACAGGGAAAAGGCTACGGACAAACACGGGCCGCGCTCGGCACAGCGCAAACGAGGCTTTATTGGGAACGCGTATGAAACAAGTGCAAAATTTAACTTGTGCTGTTCGCATGGCACAAGGTGGTAAAAGATGACTGCAGTATCCCCATTTTCACACTGATACAAAAATAGTATAAAACCTCTTTCCACGTTATTCGGTATAAGTTAAGGTTTTACAACATCGGGTAGTGCTGTCTGTGTGTCCTCACAGCCGAACAGAATCGAGGATTGAGACCAATTCGTTATTCCCTGTGCAAAAGTTATTCCTCGCTACAGGGAAAAGGAGTAATGCTTCTAATCCTGCCTTCCTCCGTAACATTAAATATAAATATCAGTGTGGCTTCCAAAAGCTTAAAGTAGTAATTCCGGGCAGAACTCAGAATGAACAATTAACGTCTACAGTGCAATTTTTAAAATGGCCAAAAAAGAGCACGTTGCATTGCTGTGTATAAATTTACACTTCATAATAATACTGGAATACATACTGAAAACATACCTTGCTTCTGTTTCATTGTTGAATTTGCATTGTTGAATTGTTCCCAAAGTGCACAAGATGCAGCTTGGTTAAGTATGTGATTAGTAACAAATGCTTAATATGAGGAACATTCTTTCAGATAACTTAAAAGTAACCATTCAAGAAAATAAACAGCCTCAAAAAAAAAAAGCAGCCTACTCGGGTTTTAGGACAAGCAGTAACAACTTTTTTTTTTTTAAGAATAAAATTAATTTACATTAGTTTATCAAGAAAAATGTACATTTTATATCCATATACTTTACAAGATGCTCCAGATCTGTGATGTCTTTCTATGGGAGGTATATTTTACAGTATTATTTGGCTGCGTTATAAGGCAATCAGTGAAAACCACTTTCTTCCACAAGAAACCATTCATAGGCAAGATCCAATCACGCGGTTATTTGCAGACAATTCCAAACATTTCTGCTGACAGCAGCCAAACTATCATACATCATCTTTATTAAAATGTAAAGAAATGTGCTTAAAAGAGAAAGGCGTAAACTTGTATCCTGCACCAGAGTAGAATTTGTTCTGAAATTCCACCCTGAAATGAGACAAAAAAAACAGAATCTGTACATGAATCCAAAGGAATCAGCTGTCAAGGGACAGAGCTGTGCAACACAAGAGACCGAACAAAACCAACCCTAATCCTCTCACTTGTTTTCTGTGCAGCTATTTCATCTTCCCATTGCAGTTCCAGGCTAATTCCATGTTTCTCAGGAGACCCAAAGCCACTGGACTGTGCTGTAATGGCTCATTTCTTACTTCTGGCTCGCTAATTTGTTTTTGAGTTGGTTGCAGTTAATTGCTTTGCAAACATACAATATCATGACGACAATGCTGTCATGCAACAGCTCTGCCTCATGTTGATACATTATATTTCTTAAACTGCAAATTTCATCAGGTTTCAAACTAAACGTGCTCTGAATCCACTCCAATGTGCAGAGCTTGTGATATTAAGACTAAGAAAGGATTAAAATACTTAAGAGTTGGCAGCCCCACTCACTAATGTAAATGTTCTGTTGAACCAAATAAATTAAATAGACTGAAACCATACAGTGTGATAACCAGGCTGAAATGAAAAATACTTATCCATGTTACTAATATTCTATATTATGAAAAGCTGCATTACTATAAATTAAATGTACTCATAGTTTGCACCAAAATCAACTCTGAATGTGGTTGAGGTTAATATGCACCATAAGCCAATGTATTTGAATTTACTGAAAATATTCCAGAGGAACAATCACATCCAACTAATAAGCCATTTATTTAATACGATTAAATAAATCTATTTAATATGATTTAAACTATTCAATATTATAATCTATTTAATATGCTTAAATAAATCTATTACAGTAGCATGAGTTGCATTTTACACTTTTTTAATAAGGTACCTAATATTTTGACATAAAAATTCCTCTTAAACAAGACAGTATATGCTAAAGGAAAAAATGAACTTACCAGTGAAGTCGTATGGCATGGAGAAAAGCAGAAAGCCCCTCCATGATCAACAGGATAAAAACTGTCAGCACAGCAAAGAAGGCCAGGACAGGGACCAGCAGCAAGACACCGTACGTGGTGTCCACACGGAGCCCCACCCTCATCACCATCTGCCACAGAACTTCAGATAACTCTGGTAAAAACCAAAATGTTTTCATAGTTAATGTTGATACTGAGTACAGTCACCCAGTGAGCCTCTCTGATCTGTTCCAGTTAACCAATATTACAGGACCCGCTGAACACGGGAACTCCAAGAACTCCCCCACCCCAGTTAGTTGTCCCCAAACCCTTCAAATGTTCAAAGGTTTCAAAAATCAATGTCAAAACCACATCTAGTGAGAGCAATATTTTACATAAAGTCACAATTTTAGTCTGGGGGCTTCCATAGATCGTGATTAGTTTAAATAGGGAATTTTTTTTTTTAAATTAAGAAAAAGATAATTTTATGTTAGTATCACTTGAACAGGCCAGCCTCCCTCTAACCAGCATTAAAAATAAAGACAAATGTGGGAGAAAAAAACCAAAATATCAAAAAAAACCCCACTTACGTGCATGAGCAAGACTTAATGCCCAGAGTCTCAGGTATGAGGCTGTGTTAGAAATACATCCCAGACAGTATTCGATGGTGTGAATCACCTGATTCATAAAAACATCTGCAAAATTCAGCTAGAAGATAAAAACACATTTGTATCAATTTAAACAACATGGCATAGCATGAGAGAACAAAAAGCAATTTTTTTTTTCTTTCAACTCACAAGAAATCAGTGGAATCTGCCAAGACCTTTAAAAATCTGCCCAAACTAAACAGCAGCAGCAGGTGGGGACTAGGAATGCTGCCCATGCCTCCCAACCCCCACCAGCAATAATCCTCATCACAAGATGTAATTTGCAGACACAAAAAGACTTTTGCCCAGATGAAAACCCAAGATTAACTAACAGGAAGCTGAGCAGTCATCACCTTCCCTTAGGTTTAAGAATCCATAAAACCATAGATAAACCAGGATTTTTACCCCATTATTCAATTTCAGAAAAGCTGTACTCTTAAAAGCAGAGCCTTATTTGCCAATAAAGCCCTTTTCCTGTTCTCTGCTACAGATGGACTGTGGTTTACTGCAGCAGTCTGAAAAGACCAAGAAATAATGCTAAAATAGCAATAAATAAATATAAGCAAATTGGATTCAGGATTCAATGTCTCTGTAAAGGCTCAGCTAATTTTCTTCCAAACTACCAGGCATGCAGAGTACAGGTTATCTTATTGATTTCCCACTTCTAATTTGCTTTTAAGGACATACAAACTAGACATTAAGTAAAAGCATCACCTCCTCTGCATCCCCTTCTCTGGGCCCGCTGTCTGCATGGCTGCTGCCTTCCTCCACATCAGGACATGACAGGAGAGAAAGTTCCTCTTCACTTTCTTTTCGGATTGGTCTGTAGCCACTCTACAAAATGGAAATGTATTGTGTCTTCAAGCAGGCTGCCATGACATTTTCAAAATTTATTTAAAGGCAAAAAGATTTAGATGAACAAAGCACTATTACGTGTTTCAGTCAAAAACTTTCCAAGTTGAGCAGAAACTGCAGTGATAGGACAAGGTATAATGAGTTCAAACTCAAAGAGGGGAAATTTAGGTTTAGGTATACAGAAGAAATTCTTCCCTGTGAGGGTGGTGAGGCCCTGGCACAGGTTGCCCAGAGAAGCTGTGGCTGCCCCATCCCTGGAAGTGTCCAAGGCCAGGTTGGACAGGGCTTGGAGCAACCTGGGATAGTGGAAGGTGTCCCTGCCCATGGCAGGGTCTTTAAGGTCCCTTCCAACCCAAACCATTCTCTGAAATATCCAGTGAGGATATGACTCTCTCAAATAATACACCACCACCTGAACTCTTCTGCACTGAGCAAACATGCAGGAGTCTTCCAGTACTTACCCTGCACATTCTGATGCCTCGGCCTCCGCTGTGCAACCAATATAAATACAGTGGTTTCCCAAGAAGCATAACAGGAACACAAAGAAAAGCAACACTAAGTAAAAACCTCTGCAGGGGAGCCTGTTTGAGGAGGGAAAAAATTAGATTAGCTCACAAAATCCTAAGTAGGAAAAGCCATCTTATTTTCCATTAAAGTGTTATCTGCACAGGGAACACAGGATGTCAGAAGTGTGTAAGAACACCACTCACCTGGCCAGGGTAGAGGCCCTTTGTTTCACCACCACCACCAGGAAACAGGAACATGTTAATAAATTGAATCAGAATACTGGGAGCAGACGTGGAGTCCTCTGCAGAGTAAGCCAACCATTTAAAGAAGATCATAAACACAAGGTAGCCAAAGATGCACATCATGAATAACAGCTCAGGAATAAAAACCAAGTAAATATTATAAGTTTTCTTGAAATGCCTAAAAGATAAAAAAGGGAGGGGATTAAGTGTTAAAAACAAATATCAACGTGGCCCAAATATAATTTAAATAAAACAAAGCAGCACCCAGCACTTTTAAACAGCAGGACTGACATTACAATCCAGAACTGATTTCTTCTTCTTCAGCAAAATTGTAATCAGGTATTTCGGTGGAAATTAGGCCCACAAGAGGCATGTATCTTTATTTACCAACAAGTGAAATAAAGTCTTGTATTAATTGATGTCTTCAGATTTTTTTGCCATAACATTGATCCATCATCTCATTTACGTGAATGAAGACCTCTCTTTTACTGTCTTTTTTTAAGAACACTTTTCACAATTACTATTATTCTGTTTTCAAAAACTAATTCCACTTTCTCTTACCAGATTAAGTGTTATAATTGAAGATTTGACAAAAAATGTTAATATTAACTTCGAAGTACTTACAAGTGGTTAAACAGCCCCAACACAACTCCAAAAGTCATGTGAGTCACTCCAAAAATCACCGACATTTTCATTTTGAAAGAATTTAAAAAAGTGAGGCGGTTGCTTGCCAAGTTCCATATCTGAACAAGAAAACACAAAACCAGCATTAAAGACCAGCATAGCAGAAGGAATAAACCAGTATTCTTTCTTTACTGGAGACCAGAATTTTACCTCAAATGGGGATCACAAGAGAAATTTTAGTGTTGTGAAAATAGTTAAACTTTTGACTTGTTAAAAGAAAAGATTTTCTTGAATGGAGAATGCAAACAGAAATGTATTTTTTCATAGTAAGATTTATCTTCCCAATACACATACCAAAATCTAATGTCCAAATGACTGATCATCACAAGTGGATAATTAAAAAGCATAAAACTAACCGGGTCAATTCCAAAGGGATAAGCTCCATTGTATACACCAGAAACATTTGGATCCAGTGCTAAAAATTTATTAGATTTCAGATCCTCGAGGCTGCAGAGAAAGAAAAACACACTCAGATCTGACACTGTTTAATCATAGTGACAATATACACTTTCAGTTCTGCAGGACACTGCTCCTGCTTTCCTTTACCTGACCCACTGTCCCACTTTCAAAGAATCACAGGATTTCTAAGCACAAAAGTCGTGCCCAATACGAACAATAGAAAAAACCCAACAAGAAACTCTCAATCTGGGCTCAATTTGCACTGCCTGCCTTGGAAAGGAAAGTTTATGGATTTTATTCCTCATTCCCCCAGAACTGAAAGTTTCATTTTAAAAGTTCACAATTTGCTTTTAGTGTGTTTTTTTAAAACTGACTAACAAACACTCCAGGAATAATTGCTACCTTTTGCAAGGGAAACTTCCACTCTAACTTCACACAGTCTCTAGTTAACACAGCACACACAACCTGCTCTCATTTTAACCAAAGTCAGAGGTCTTGACTCGACTGCATTAAACCACTTCCTGTTCCTGAGGCAACGAGATGCAAGTTGTGAACTCCTAAATACCACAGGGCCATGAAAACTCAAATCAATGAGGTCATCCCACTGAGAAACAGGAGGTTTGACAATTCACATAGCCTTTTTTTTTTTACTATCAAGAAAAGCTGTGCAGTGACTAATGAGTGCCAGGTAATTAATTTACTTCATTAACTGTTACTTTCTTTACAGTAAATGCTGCTCAGCTATTCATTCCAGAAGCATGACCTAGGACAAATTCCTTCAGAACTAGCCCTGTGTTTTCTATCCCTCTCAAAATCTGATGTATATAGAAAGAGACACCCCTGGAAAATGTATTAAGACAAACCATAAGAAGAGAGTTAAAAGAGGGTTAAACTGCTGCAGGAAGTACATCTCTGGTTTAATGGTGTAGCAAACATGCTACTCACCGCCAAACCTTCTGCTCAAACATTGCTGAAACATTCCATCCAGACCCAAATATATTTATTGACTTGGAAAAACAGTCATTGTAAATCAATCCAGTGTATATAGAAAACAGACCCATCAACAAAATCACGTATCGGCCTTCAAATAACATTTTCATTATCTGTAAGGATTGGAAAAAAAAATAGAGAATATCATCTGCTCTGTGAGCAATGGGTATCTAGACATTTGTAGGGGAAACATATTTTTGGACACATAAAGATTTGTAAAAACTAAACATTTTTTTTGAACAGTCGCTAAGGAATATGAGCTCTCACGACACACACTGAGACTTTTCTCATTGGCATCATTACACAAATAGTCTTTTACAGCCCTTTCCTTCCTGAGACTAGTTTACAAGAAGTTATACATTTGCAGCCATTCTTAATTAAATACAATTCTAATGAGGGATGCAGGTGTTCCTGCATTCCAACCCCATATGATTAAAAAATGAGCTAAAATAAAGTTCAGCAAATTTCAAACTGCAGCTCTTTTTAGAAGCAATAAAAGACGGAATCTGAAAAATCATTTACATTCTGTAAATACTCACACCACTGAGTAGCCCTGGCAGAAAGAAAGACAAGCCCAAAAGTATCAACTAATTTTTGTCAGTCTTTCACTACAACTTGATTGTTTCTGCTCTTTCAAAAAAAGTGACTAGTTTAAGATATCACATGAATCTCAAGGGACTTTAAACATAGAAAATCCTGAAACAAAGGAAAAAAACCCAGTCTAATACATGTGCAATAAATAATACTTTTCAGAAACATAGTGACTGTTCAAGTGAATATAGTGACTATTTGAGTGATCTGGCTGGATGAGAAGGAAATAACCTGTAATTCCTTTTACCTCATCTTGTGATCTTTTTAACCTGGGGTGGTTCTCATACAGTATTGTCAGGAGTGCAAACAGGAACATGAGCAGCCCGTGCCCAAAGTCTCCAAACATAACAGCAAAGAAGAAGGGGAAGGTGATGATGGTGTAGAGAGCTGAAAGGAAACAGCACATTTCAGGCACAGCACAGCTGATGATGTTCTGTCTGAATTATGCCTAACCAATTCCATCACTTTAATCTCTCAAAGTTTTTAGCTTTAAGTTTGAAAGACATTTCACCCCCAACTAAGAGACCTTTTCCCCACACTATGAATTCACATCAGTTTAAAGCTTGTTTATTGTGTATCCTTTAGCAACGACAATTCTGAGGGTAATAGTATGAGCCCAGGAAATAAAACACAACCAAACAGTTCTTCCTCTGTGGGTATTTCAGGTCTGTATTATAATGTACATTCTCCTGTACAGCATGACATAGTCAGAAGAGCTACAAGTAATTAAACTGAGCTATTCAACAAGCTGAATTTTTCAAGTGATGAGCTCCACGCTTCAGTAGGATCAATAACCATTACCATTTCTTTTTTTCCCATAAATATCTTATCCAAAGTAAGACATATAAAGAGATATTCTACAGCTATTAGCAGCATCTTTAATGCTAAAGTAACTCAGCAAAATCAAATCCCATCTTCCTGCTTGGAGCATCATTTGTATTTTTGATGGGCTACTGACATTTTAGAACAGCTACTAACAAGCAGTGTGGTTTTCACCATTTTGCCTTTACTGGTGTCCAATTCAGCAAGGTATTAAGGCAAGAACCAACGACAGCACAGTCCCCAGCTCAGCCTTCAGAAGGACCAACCTGGATTAACTTCCCCATAGCTTCCAACTCCATAAGCATCAACAATGTTCTGGAACCCTGAGGTGAATTTATTGGTACGTATCAAAGTTGGAGGAGGTTGTGTTGTCCTGATGGTTTCCATGCATGAGGGAATTGTAGCTCCACTCTTCCTCTAATTAGAGACAGAAGATAAATTTATACAAGATCTCTGTTAATCTGATGAAACTGAAAACCTTTGCTCTATCAGCAGTTTCACTGATCCTGAATTACCACTAAATTGAGCCTAAAGTTTAATGTTTGTGCCTTCTCTAGAAACACTGATTATGTACAGTGTCTAATCCTTTCTTCATATGAAATATCAGATGAGACTCATCAGTCAATACTAAAAAACAAAAATTTGTTATTAGAAATTCTCTGTTATGAAACAAAAACCAACACAAGGGAACTGCACCTTCTATGAGACTGTAAATAGCACTGTGAGCCCAGCTGGACTCGGGTCCAACACAGCAGTTATTCAACAAAAAAACCCCACCACACACAACACTAAATAAAGGCTCTGCTTACAAAAAAATTGTTTTATATAAGTTGACAGAGACACAGATCTGCCTGTGCCTATTTTCAGCCTATTTTTAATAATTATTTCCTTATCTGTAGAGTTAGTTCAAGACCAAAGTTTACACATCACTGAGCACTCAGTTGACTTACTGAACCTTCCTCCAATGCCTGGCGCAAACTCTGGAGATCAGCCACTGGACACCAAACCTCAGCAATTAAACACTTCTTTGTGACATCAAAACTGCACAGGTTGAGTACATGGTAAATGGCTTTCATCTTCTTCACCTGGATGACCCAGGTATAGATGGATTCCGACGCTTTACACAACACCTGGTGTAAGTATTCCTCGGTTTTATTCAGCACCTTTGTCCAAGAAAAAAACATAGAGTTCACCAAAAATGTGATAGTGGTTGTGTTGACCACAACAAGAGCACCTTGAAGTGTCCAATGCTGGGCCATGTTTTTAGGAGGGCAAGCAAACCTCTGCTGAAAACAGAAGGCAATGCCAAGTGCCCTGAGGTTTAACAGATGCAACACGACACCAGGGCCATGACATCCTGTCATACCGAGCTCCAAAGCTGTGTGTATTTTAGAAATGTGTATTAATGCTGTGATTTATCAAATGATTTCCTATGGTACTACAACTGCAGCAAAAGCAAATCTGTTCTTTACTCACAGTAGTAAGATCCTGAATACGAACGTTTAGTCCTTCGACAACTGCCCGGCGCTCCTCGGTGTTGTTTGGGTAGGGATACACATGGCAGTGATAGCTACAAAACATAGAGGTTTGTGTTAAATAACAAACTAAACCAAAACAAATCACCCACCCCCATGCCACAGTCAAATCTGCAACACAACATTTAATAACCATGGAACAGATTCAACTGAGAGAGTTGGTATTTTGCCTGTACTTAGTAAAGTGTGCAGGTAAAATGACTCACATTTATTTGTACATTGCATAATTATAGAGCTGGATGCAATGAGGGAACAAATTTAACTTCAAAAACCTTGTCTAAATATCAACACTTACGAGAAAGGGGTGCAGGGGGAAAAAAAATTAGAAAATAACCCAGGTATAAAGAAATTATATATTAGTTTTACTTCTTACCAATCACAAATCTTCTTTACTTTTTGGCCAAGTTGCTCACCCCAATAGGACACCAAGAAAGCAACCCACCTTGTGGTTTCACCCTAATAAAACCAGAAAAAGGTAAGTTCAATGACATTTGTTTTAACCAGCAACTCCACTGTGATATAATTAGAGCAAAATAACAAAGCTGAACAATGAGGAAAATCTCTGTTATTAGCACTGATCTTCCACCATTTTCAGTGAAGATGAAACAATAAAATTCAAGAGTGTCAGTATCTCTCTGGTTTTCAGGGGGCGTTTTTTGTATGTTGGAGAAAAACAGAAAAAGTTTTGAGGTAAAATAAAAGAGACATTTTATTTTACCATCTCAGAATTCTGAGTAACAAAGGAGTGTAAAAAAAAGGTAACAAATTAGAATCAAAGCAAAAAAAAAAAAGACAGATTAGGCTGCCAGACTTGATTTACAAAAGATTAATTTTATAAGTTCAGAGAAAATACCTCCTGTACTTGACTCTTTCTTAACTACTGAATGAAGAAGGAAAATGGCTATTAAAATGCAATGCACTGTACAGACCTAGTTAATAAATATCCAAGCAGCCATTTATGCCACGTATTTTGATCAAGGTGGCCAATCATAAAGTCACATAAATTCCACAGTAAAGTTCTGCACTCCTGAAGCTCAGCCATGGTAAATTCATTGCCACTCCTACAGTCACGTCAGCATCGAGACCTCGAATTTTCAAGTCTTACAAGTTCTAATTCTTTAAAATGATTTTTCCTCCAAGGGCACTGGGAAATCATTTCCACTCATTGCAGGCAGACCTGAGCAGCAATTCTTCCAAATCATATGAAAAGTACAAACAAAATAAACTGATGATTACAATGTTTACTCACTGTATCTGGATCTTCCAGAGCCTCATCCAGCTCTGCATAGGTAAGGAAGGGATAACCTTTACACACTCTCCACAGTGTTTTTTCAAATGCTTCAATTTTTGCTCTGTGAACTAACCCAGATATGAATCTAAGGAAAAAGAAAAAATTGAAATATAAAATTCACAAGAAAAGAAATGAGAAACTCAGAGTACATCATCACTCAGGATCAGAGTCATGATAATTTAACATCTGCCACGGCTGGAGAAGGAACACCACCCTGAACAGGAAGGAACTTGTACAGAAAATACCAGCTGGTATATAAAATTTTTGTTTGGAAAATAAACAGACTGCAGGCCTGAGCACACAACTAGAATTATATCTACCTGGTTATTTGTGTGATAGTGAGGTTCATAATTTTTTCCTGCCAAGATACCCTCTCATAACAAAGCCACAGACAGCAGTATCCACTCAGCGTTTCAAAGGCAACACAATTAATGTTACATTTACAACTGACACTGCCAGGTGATTGAAACAGTCTGTTTATCACAGAAAAAGAGTTCAAACAGTACCAGGAAGTAATGATTGAGAGACTTTCCTTTACACACATCCTTGGTTTGATGGAAGCTTTGTGACAGGATTTTCTGGTGGTGTCCTACTTATCCCTTCAAATAACCCGGTTTTGTTACAAAGGTACATTGGGGTCAGACTCCTGCCTTGTCTAAAATCACTAAAGTCACACTACAGTCCATCTTTTAAGAGAACAACCCATTTGTTACAGCAGGTCCTCAAGCCCTTTTGAAGCAGCACATGCTGTCTCACACACATGGCCTGCCCCATACCTACCCCAGCCTGGCACTCAGTCTGTGCATACAGTTGTAATCCACTAATGGCTCATTTTCCACAGATGGAAATTCTTCATAATTTGCATGTAAATGAGATTCATACTGGCAAATAAAAAAGAAAGGTCATTCATAGCATTCAGAAAAAAAAATACTTTCATTACATTATTATCCTAAAGAAGAAAAGCTAATTAAGTAAATTATTTAATTACAAATATAAAACTCCTTTCCTGTTCAATTCAGGCAACAGAGAGACTTTGTGACCTCAAGTGCCCTGCTCTAAGCAACTGAAGTCAGTGCTGCGAAATTACACTGTAAATTTCTTAGCACAATTTATGCGTCAAAATAACACAATTTCACCTTCATTTTCAACTGGCACCAGCAGTAACATTCAACAAAGAGAGAAATCACCAAGCTCCCCTAAGCTCAGGGCTGCATTCTGCCCTGTACACGAGCCCAGCCTGGCACAAACCATCAGGAACAATGTCCAGGGCTGCAAAGCCCAACACCAAGTCATGCACTGAACTACAACCACTAACAAGGTGAGCCAAAAATGCCCCACAACACACAGCCCCTGGCAAACCCCCCAGCAGTACCTCAGATGTTCTCCTGACAATGCTCTGTGTGACCTTCAACATGTACTTGTATTCTGTCAGCTCAAGCAGGTTTTTCCGCAGTTTTTCTTTGTTTTTAGTTACTTCCCTCAATTCTGTCTCCAGCTTCTGCAGCTGTTCCTAAGACACAGAGGGCAAAAAAAGACATAGAATCAGTTACACAATTTTGGAAAACAGAGTAGAATTCATTTTCAGCACGTGTTATTTGCCACAATGATGGGAGTTTCCCAATTTCTTAATTAACAGGCTCCACAGGTTTTATCCCTCGTCTGCCAAAGAGGGCTTTGTATTGAGTACACTTGATCCTCCACTGGCATCTCTTAAGTCTGTTCTGCCCTTAATTTGTGTCTAAGTAATGCAGAATTAGAGCTGCAGATAGCACAGAGTGGAAGACACCCATTTATTCCTTTAATAGAATTACAGCAAAACAGAATGTTATTCAAAATTATATCTGTGTTTTACAAGCTTCTTTTCTAACAAAACACAAGAAAAAGAATTCACAGAAACCAGCACCATGTTCTGCTGGGCAACCAGCACTGGAACCTGCAGAGCCTTGGGAATACAAAACTCCCACACACTTGGATATTTCGGATGCACAGAGTCACAGTGAGTCCCAAAGCAATAAATGAGGCTGAGGGATTACATCTAAAGACAATAATTTGCCTGGAACAGTGTAATATGCCAATCCATCCAATCCAATGGATGACTGCACACCCCAGGAGTTGGCTTTGACCCTTCACAGGGATTTTGTGTTAATATCAAAACCTCACTGGCAGGCTTTGAAGTGACACTGGCAGGAAGGAAAACAATCAGACAAAAAGGAAAGCGAATGCTTCTGTCTCCCCTGCCACACCCCTACAACTGAAGTCCTAATAAAAGAGCAAGTAATTAAGTCTGCAATTAAGTTCCAATACCCTACACTTCGGCATCTGTTTAGTGGAAAAGTTACCTGGATTTCTAAAATGTGCTTCAGCAAGGGAGCAGGAGGAGCAACATCTCCTTCAGGGAGTGAAATACCTGCTTTTTTAATTTCTTGTACTAAATACCCTGGAGGGAGAAACAAAACAGAATCAGAAAGGAAACTGCATTGCCTTAGACTTCCTACAATGCTGCAGAGTTGACCTTCAGCTGCTCTTGCTGGTGCTGATCACTCTGCAGCACCAGGCCCTGGCTATTTTATTCATTCATTTTAGCAACAACACACACTAATCTTCAAAAAAGACAGACTGACAGAGCATAAGGGATAAAACACAACAAACATTCCCGCCTGGGAAGTTTGCACAAGTGAGTGAACTTCAGAGGCCTGTGATGGAAATCTCCCAACCACAAGTACTTTGTAAGAAGCTTTAATATTTCCTAGAACCTCTTAGTTGCTGCACATCAGTTTCTATCACACAATCGTTTCACTTTCTGCCAGAAATGGCCGTTCTGCTCATTGACCCACATTTGGATAAAAAGTGTTCAAAGAAGGAGGCTTAAGGAACTTTGACACGCATGCAACTCCCACTGGACAGGGAGATTGCCAAAATAGCTGCTGGCATGGTGTGGCATGACCAGCACGTGCCTCTGGTGAGAGATTCCAACAAAAGGAATCCTTCAATGGTGACTTTTCCTCAGGATACACTGAGGAAATCTGCATCTTGGCTGTAACGCTCTGCAAACCCTCTATTCATTAACTACCATGAGAACACAATTACTGATAAAATAATTACTAATAAAGGTATTTTTGAGGGTGTTTGGAAGATCAACAGTATTGAGTTACACAACACGAAAAAACAGGGAATATCTTATAGTCAAGGAAATATCCAGAGTAAAGCTTCCATTTTCCTAGCAGAGTTTTATGCAATCAATACTGAAATGGTCTCAATTATTTATCAGCAAAACATTAGCAAATCTTCTTCGCCTCTGAGCTCAAAAGAACACTGACCTATATTTAGTGTAAGTGAATTTCACAGCTCACAAAACCATGGAAGTCATCTCCAGCTCCAAAAATCTACATAAAGACTCAACAGATGAGTGTATGGATGTGTATTTTTTCATACGTATGAAAATTCTCTATGAGTCTACAGCAGTCAGACCACATAAGCTTGTAGCTGAAACCTTCACTGTAGTTCCACTCTAGTAATGTTAACTTTAATCAAGTCATGGCTGAGAAAGGTCAGATATGAAAATAAAGCTCACCAAGTATTCTTTCCATCTCTTCACATTTCTTCACTTCGTTCACATATTTTCTCTGAAATACACTTACATTTGGGTTAAGCTGAAGGAGAAGGACAAAATTCTTATCAGAGATTCAAAACAGCAACATCCCTAAAAAACCACAGCTGTTCCTGTGACTTCCTAGAGATATTTGCATGTGCTCTATGTGCTCTCTCTTTCTAAAGTGCTTTTCAGCCAAGAAGGTACAAAAACCTAAAAAGATTAAAAAGTCTTCAAATAGCAGAATTGGTTTTATTAAAGCAGAATCATCCATGCCATTTGCTGGTTGTACTCAAATAAAAAATCAATGAGATCTCCTGGAGAAACCATTCCAAATCTTATTTCTACAGTTTTAAAATACTGCTTAGTGACTTCAAATTAACAAACCTTCCTACAAGCAAATTTGTTGTGATGGATTTCCACAGAATCTATGTGAAATGTTAAGTTTTAAAAGGATCTTTTTTATGTATATACCCCTACCATAAGTGCAATGTCTCTGCCTACTTAGTCAGCTTTCAAACAGAACCAATAATGTGTTATTTCTACAATAAATGGTGTGTCAAGTGACTGGAATGGCATCAAATGCTAAACATACACTCACATTGTCATTCTTACAGATCTGCCTCCTCCTCTGTACCATATTTACTAATCAGCTGTTAATTTGAGTTCTCCCAGCTTTCCCTGCAAAGATTCTGCAACCTACATTTCTGATGTATATTTGGAAGAAATTCCAAAGTCTCAGTCAGCAAGCAAACATCATATAATTATGATGAGACAATGCAGAAAGAAGGTTAATTATTGCCCAACCCAATAGTCAGGCAGGTAGTTTCCTCCAAGGTGAATTGCTGCTCCAGGAACAGACATGTTTGACAAACCAGGAGCCTGTGATGCTGAAGAAACAAACCTACAGAGCAGCTGTTTCAGTCGGGTGGACACGTCACTGAGCTGTGCACACACACTCAGACCGAAGGCACTGTGGCTACACGTGGCCCAGGGGGTCTCCCACAGGGTCCTACTGCAAGTAACTCCCAAGTTTAAGCTACTTCGGTGAGAAGGTGGGATGCAGCCACCCCAAAGCAGGGAGTGTCAGGGAGGCCCGAGCTCCAAACTGACTTCCCATCACCCGTTCCACCCGCCTGGAGACGCTCCTGTGTCACCTGCTCCAGGGGACTCTGCCTTGGACCTCCAGAGGTCCCTTCCCACCCTAACGACTCTGTGATCCCTGCTTCCAGGGGAACGCGACCCAGGGACCGGCCATACACCTGCGTGTCGGAGGCGGGGAAAGCTGGGAACGGCAGCGGTCCCGGAGTCCCGCACATTCCTGGCGGCTCCCCGGGGCCCGGCTCGGCCCCCCCGCCCCTGTGCCTGCCCCGATGTCCCCGCGGGCCCCCCGGTACTCACGTCTCGGAACTCGGCCAGGCCGCGCTCGCCCACCTCGCTGAGGCACTCGTAGGCCGAGCCGCTGCGCAGGTCGAGCTGCACCAGGCACATGGGCTCCCCGCGGAACAGCGAGCCCATGGCGAGGGCGCTCCGGGGCCCGGGGGGCTCAGCGGGGCTCGGCGGGGCCGGCGGCCGGCGCGCAGCGGGGCCCGGGGGCGGCCATGGCGGGGCGGAGCGGCCCGGCCCCGGCGGCGGCTTCCGGGGCGGGGAACGGGCGGAGAACTCGGGCTGAGCTCGGGCACCGGCACCGGCCGGGGAGCCGGGAACCCCCGCCGAGCCGCTCACCGGGAATGGCAGCCGCGGAGTCACCGCCTGAGGGGCTTCTGTGGGAGAGGATGTACGGGAGAAACGCGTTACTGGGAGAACATGATACAGTCACTGAATGTTAAGGGAGAAATGCGTTACACACAGTCACTGAATGATTAGGGGGTTGGAAGGGACCTCAATATCGTCCTGTCCCAACCCCCGCCATGGGCAGGGACACCTCCCACCATCCCAGGTTGCTCCAAGCCCCGTCCAACCTGGCCTTGGACACTTCCAGGGATGGGGCAGCCAGAGCTTCTCTGGGCAACCTGTGCCAGGGCCTCACCACCCTCACAGGGAAAAATTTCTTCCTAATATCCTGCCTAAATTTCCCCTTTTTCAGTTTGTGCCCATTACTCCTTGTCCTATCACTACAGTTCCTGACAAAGAGCTCCTCTCTGGTTCCCTGTATCCCCCTTCAGATACTGGAAGGTGCTCTGAGGTCTCCACACAACCTTCTCTTCTCCAGGCCGAGGAGCCCCAACCTTCTCAGCCTGTTTCCATAGGGGCGGTGCTCCAGTTCTTTGAACAACTTTATGGCCCATCCAAACCCCAAAAAGTCCCCAACATTGTGTTTCATCACCTGAGGACAATCAGAGAATGTTTCCTGCCCTGTGGAGCCCAGGTTGCCAATGCAAAGCATTAACTGGAAAAGAGAATTTTAGGTGGACACATGAAAACAGCTGAAGCATTGTGACTTTCTGAAGTGTGAAGCAGTCTGCCCACCACTCCAAAAATAGGAGTTTGCTGTGAAGAGGAGCTTCTACTCCAGCAGAAGAGAACCAGCTTGAGAGGATAAAGATCCATCCATGGGGATGACCCCAACCCTACTGTAGCCTCTGGGCTGAACTCGCCACCCTCTTGAAGTCAACTCTGCACTTTGCTGCTCCAAACACAGAGTCTGGAGCTTAAAACTAATTTATTATTTTTGGTTTAAATAACACAGCCATTTTCTGTACACTGTAAAAGTACTGATTTTATGTATTTTAAATGTTTATATAAATTGTCTACAAGATCTAAGAATATTTCTCCATAATTTTTACCTATCTGTTCCATAATTTAGAAAACCAAGGGTTGGTCATAATTACTGCAAGTAAAACAAGAAATGCCAATAGCAGGCCTTTAGCAAGACACTGGGAGTATGGTTCTCCTGCAAAAGAGAAAGAAAAAAAAGTGTAAGTGTATGAGAGCTAAATTTTAGTTTAGAAAACAACCCAAGGATACAGATTAAAGTATACACCTTAATGCAGCACAAAGCAAGGAAGTAAAATGCTTCATACTTGTGAAACTTCATACTTTTGTGTAACTTTAGTCCCTGAAGTTGTGCAGATAATAAACACAGGCAGTTGCCTCTATCCATGACACTCCCAGAAGAGTCCAAGTGCCTTGATGCCCTTTGAAATCCCAGACATTTAATCTACGGAGTCTCCCATGAAACATAATCCACCACAGTTTTACACAGAAGAAATTTAAAAATTATCTGTCTTAACAATATGGCAAATTTTTACTGGTAAAGTGAGAAACAAAGTCTCCCTCCACCCTTCAAGAGCGATGACGTACTCTGACAGTGTTACAATTACAGAACAATATTATAGAGTGACATATTCTTTGCCTTAACCAGCATATGTCCCTCCAAACCCCACGGGAGAGTGAAAAAGAATCTCTCCCTGCCAAACTGATGCTCACAAAATTTCAAGCTTGCCCAGAAAGTACTTCTAGTCATTATTTCTTTCCACTAGTCTAACTGAGAAATTAATGCATTGTCAAAAAAAACAAATAAACAGACTTTCTGGACTGTGCTTTCTAAAGGAGAAATTTTAATTCCCCACCACAAAGCATTCTTTCAGACTGAACTCCACGCATCTAATTATGTTTCAAGGAAATGTGGCCAGTTTGTGGCATCCCACATTGTTTATTGTTTTTACCTGTGTAAAACCGTGTCAGTGGATAAAACAGTTGTTGCAAGCACACATCATTTTGATTGCAGTCAAATTCCACATAAATCCTGTGGTATCTGGAAAAAAAGGACCCTTTGGGTCAATGCTGTTCACATTGCTGAGCACAGTGTGAAGTTATCAATGTTTTTACCAAAACTACCTTGTCTTTCGAACGGGTGGCTGAGCTGGGACTTTAACAAACTGAACAGAAGCCGTGATGGGCAGGAAGCTGAGGCTGTTTCCACAGCTCAGCCCACACTGGAACTGCCACAGGACTGTTGAGTAACTGTAACAATAAACACAACTTTGACTTGAGGGCTGTAAATGAAAATTTAGAGCCTAAACACGACCACGAAAGGACAAAATACACAGTATTTGGAAGGAGGTTGATAATCCCTGGATTTTCCCCCATGCCGGGGGAGAACCGAAGTCTGGAAATGAGCTAAAATGGAACAGAATCACATTTATTTAATTGGGATTGACTTGGCAGAGGAGGGGAAAGTGTTTGCAAAGTGAAAATTCCGTTTCAGGAAAGAATAAATCATTTAGCACAGCTCCCAAGAGCTCTGCAGTGGGATAAGCCAGAACATAGGACAATGTTGTCACTTCCACCACGTCACAAGAAATTAAAACATTCTCCTGATGGGATACCCTGGATCTGCCCACTGCTGGCAGCATCACAGATTTTATTTAATGTTAAGTGAAGTAGAACTATTATGTGGTTTTAAGCACTAGTTTTGTGGGTTTTTTTCATTTGAGAATGAGAAAGGTTAACCTAGTTGTGATCAAAGGAATTTGGGCTGCAGAAATAAAAGGCTTGTAAAAATTTTAAGTAACAAAACAACATTTTTTGTTTCTTAAGTTTAAATCTGGATTTGTTAGGTAAGGAAGGCTCAAAATTAAACATTTATATTGTCAGATAACCAGAGACACAACTCACTCTACCTGATCTGCACAGCAAGAATCTGTTGCTGGGGAATCCCTTGCACTGCTCCCACTTCAGCAAACATTATGTGAATGTTCAGGTTTGCAGGAATATCTGGACAAAAGCCTTTTAAGTTTCCAGTGCTCACATTCATACCAGAATTAAATGGATCAAGACCTTTGGAGAACAGAGTTATTTAAATGTAAATATTAAAGAAAACATCATATATTCCATAGTTAGATTATTGTCATGGTCCAGTGAAACACTGGTAACTGTCACACAGAAACAGATTAAAAATGCTTTCTCTATATAAAAAACACACAAAGAAAATTATTATACTTTTATTATTTAAAGGATTATATATTTATCTGTTGATATCTATTTATCAACAGGTAAATGCCAAGGTGTACAGGCTGGTAGTAAAATATTCAGTATCCACACACATACTGAGTTATATGCCTATGTGTCCACACACATGGAGAGATGAATCCAGATATATCAGTACTTCAGGTATTTGCAATTATGTTTGGGGTTTATTTTGAGATGCTCTATTCAGTTTATGGGCATATTTAGACTGTAAAGAACAACACAAACCTCACTTACGTATAATTTCCACCCAGTCATCTGGATCACTGTAACTGGAATTGTCCCTCTTTCCAATGTGAGTAGCTTGTATTAATGAATTCAATTTCTCAGTTACATTTCCTCTGCAAAATAAGAATGTAACATCACAAAGGAGGTAAATCTGTACTGTCTGCCACTCTGGGTCACAACCTTATTGTATCATAAGCTCGGTTTCCTCTGAAAGGTGTTACCACTCAACAGAAATAAGCTCAAACTCATGAGTTATCTGTTGAAGGGAAGAAATGGCAAAGTATTCCACCCCAACACAATCCTCATTTAAATACAGACTGAGGCCGTTATTATAATTTCCCTTTAAAAATTAAGTGAGACTTTTAACCACAGAAAGCTGAAACACACACATGAGTATTTCAAAAGAATGTTCCAGTGCTGGTAAGAGGCATTTGTAGACAATCATGTAATAACCAACAAGAGGGACACAGGGAGAAACAATTCAGCTTATGTGGCTCACCTTAAAAGGCTGCAATCTTCATTAATCCCAACTTCCAGAATGCACCCAGAGTAGGAGTCTACTCCAAATAAAACTGGTGTATAAGCTGCTGATGCACATAAGCCTCTGCCAGCTGTGAAATGAAACCATCTTACTTGAGCTTTCCTACAGCCACCTTTG